TTGTTTATTGTAATGGTAAGTGCAAAATTATGTATTGTTTATATTATATTAACACGTGATGATCGGCATAATTTTGGCCAAACAAACTGGCCGGATAATTTTGATCGCCCTCTGTATATTATTCTGTGATAAATATGTAGATCAAAGTTGAATAATATATTATTAATCAAAAAAAAATTTTTTTTTTTAAAATTTAAAATATCTGTCTATTTCATAAAATACCTTTTCAATTAATTTATGCTTTTGGATTTTATAATAATGAACTGAAAAATGCTTCAAAAGAAATCTTAAATGTTTCACATTTTGTTAATTATCAAAAATTAAATAAAGAATTCGTGTATCTTTGTGATTAGTTCTTTTTATTAAACGGGGGTTATTTCTAAAGTTAAATTCTTTAACAGATTATATTTTCGATATTATCTTTAATAATCCATCATATGTTTCGGAATCCTTCCGACTAACACCCAATACTGACACACCATTTGTTTCCTGATGAGAATACTCTCGTTTAGACTTGGTTATTGCCAAGCAGTAAAGGCTTACATATTGGTTTCGGCTATAGTAATGCTTGGGGTTTCAATTTTAGGTTCAAGACAAATTATATATGTATAGATGAAACCTTTCATTTCTTTTGCAGAGTCTTGCTTTTAATAATTTCTTATTTGAATTTCTGTACTTTTTGTTTTATTTTTAGATTCTACCTTCATAAAATTATATTTATATTTTTTTTCTAGTTAATAGTTTCTATTGATATAATTGATTCATTTTTTTTTTTTTATTAATCTCTAACATAATAAATTTTTTATACTTATTACTATTTATAAATATATTTCGTCAGTTTCTTTAATAAAATTTATCAATGCGTTGGTTCTTATACAAATTACAAATTCCAAGTCAAGTTTTTTTTTAAAAAAAATGAAAAAAAAAAAAAAAAGTAAAATCCGAAAGATTTAAATGATCGAAAGGGAGGCGTTAAAACAGAGGTTAAATAAATATCAAACGAAACATAATCCATGCAAGAAACTTATGCAATCATTCTAGGGGTTATTAATGAGTTGCTTGTATCTTCAAATTTAGGACTGCAACGACTATTAACATTAGCATGAGAATCTAAGGAATAGTAAATCGTAGGAACATTTTTAATATGATACAAGTGTATTGTTTAAACGTTATATTATTATAAATTTCTTACCAATTGCACAACTATATTCATGAGAGCCTAGAAAATAAAATAAAAAGAAAAAAATAAATAAACAATCTTGGAAAAACTTTTTCTAAAAAAATGATCAGGATTAGAAACATTACCAATATGATCATTATTAGATTTAATTAAGAGGTTCTGTCTAAAAATATTTTCTAACAAGATAAGAAATTTTTTGTTAAAAAATTTGAACTTAAATAAAGCCAAGTTCATTTATGATCGTCATACCACTTTGATTAAATCTTCGCGCAAGTGGCCTTGGCCTTAGAAAAATTTGTTGACTATTAATCACTTCTGGATACGCCATTTTTGACAAAATCAAACTTCTTTTCTCCTCCGCCGCTCGAAATCCATATCTGTCTTTGCGATTTCCCTTGATCATTGAATTTGCGAATGACCAAATCCTTTTATGAACTGTTTCCATGGTCGGCCGCAAATTTGGATCAGTTTGCCAACAATCTTCGATGAGTTTAGCAAATGCAGGTGGTGTACCTTCAACAATCTTTGGTCTCTTGCCATCAATAATTTCATACATAAGATGAACATCTTGTCTCATATTAGAGAACGGCATACGACATGAGGTCAACTCCCAAAGTATCATTCCAAAAGAATAGACATCTGCAGCTCTTGTATATATTTCTATGCGACGAAGTACTTCAGGTGCCATATATCCAATCTTTCCAAACAATGGTCCATTCTCCATCACTAGTCGCGCAACATCCTCTTCTTTCACACATAACCCCAAGTCGGCAAGCCAAGTCCATGTGATTCCATTGCATGTCACATGGTTTAGGATATTACCACTATGAAGGTCACGATGAATAAGACCCTGAAATAATGAACGTAAAAGGTTTAAAATGTTTGATGTAACGACGTGGTAAGAATCAATTTACGATTACCTCTCTATGAAGTCCTCGAAGAGCTTTAGCGATATCTCGTGACAAGCGAATTATTCGTTCCCAATTCAAGTCTTGATGTCGTTTTTTAATATATGAATTTAAATCACCTAATTTAAGAGTATTCATACTTTAGTTTAGATCGTGTGACGATTCTATCCAACTAACTTACCCTCATTTGCAAAATTAGTAACCATCATATAGTATCCAGTTTTTGGTTCACGGGTGACACCGAAGCAATGAACGATCCTTCTAACGCTTACACAAAGAGAATGACATTCAAGCTGACATAATAAACGTTTACATAAATAAATTTTCCAGGACAAAATTTGTTTTTATCTTCAATTATTTTTTTTTTTTTAAAAAAAAAAAAAAATTATTCTCACTTCATTTAAAAATTCTTTGAACATAGCATTACGTTTAAGCGTTTTGAAAGCAATCTTCCTAGGACCAGATGCAACCCATTTCAATCTCTCATTGTCCCATTTCCATTTCGGACCATCAATCCAGATGGCAGAATATACGATTCCAAACCCTCCTTCTCCAATTTTCTTAATATCCGTAAATCTCTCGAACGGGATCCATTCGAAATAATTCTTGTGTCCAACGGCATTCAATTGATTTCTTCTTATACATTCATCCAACTCTTTCTTTCCGCTCGTCCAATTTGGGAAATCATCTTGAAGTCGTTTTGGACAGCATTCGGCGCACCAAAAGAGGGTACTATCGTAAGGCTTTTTACAAACTACGCATGAGTCACCTTCAGGATATTCCTCTACTGCTTCCTCATGTTTATCTTCACTGTCAATATCAATAACTTGAGGCGTTATTTGTTGAATGAGTAAATCATTATGTTCTCCCGCGTTAGATTCGTTATCGCAAATGAGCGAATGAATTAAAATGATGATCAATTCTTTTGTAAAACTTATTTGAAATAGTACGAGTAATGGTAATGGTAAAATTAAATAATTTTGGTTGAAATTAAATCTAAATCTTATTCTAGATTTCGTCAAGAATTTTAAAAATTTAATAATTATAAATTTTTTAAAATTACGTTTGAGCATCACGACACGATTAAATATCCGATTGCTGCGAGGCCAATTTGAATATTTAATTTAAAAAATTAATAAATAAAGTTATTATTTTTTTTTTTTTTTCGTCTTTATTTCTTTATTCCTATGAGAAAAATTTAAGTTCAAACTGTCGTGAATCATTCATTTAAATAATCATTTTAAATTACAATCAATTCTTTCTTTAATAATGATTTCTTTTTTTGGATATATGAAAACCGTGAGAAAGTAATAATTATTAAATTCCATTTATTTTAACAAAGAGATTTGGAGTTTATAATGTTATCAGCTTTTATTCATCCCCAAATGAATTCATAAATTTCACAAAGATTTTGATAATCTGAAAATACATTTTATCAATACGCTTTTAGAAATGAAAAAGACATAAAAGATACCTCTTATGTTAGTTATTCATGTAACGGAAAAGAATCATCGAAATGCTACACAATATCAAAATGTAAAGGATTTCAATTTCTTGTTGATTAAATTAAATCGTGTAACCAGAATTGAGTGAAGATTTACTTTGCATAAAAGAGACGGAATGACGCTAAACATTTTCAATGTAATGGAGCAACATTGGTTTTAGATTCTTTAAAAATTTTTAATTGATGGACATATGGGCGACTCCAATTATATCACGGTGTGACATTTAAAAATGTTTATCAATTTTGATTACCGAGAGCTAAACCTATTTTATGTGCCCTTTGTTCAAACACTTATAATACTCATTTCCGACCAAGTCTGACGTTGAACTCAAAAATACCAGGATGGAATTGTCTTTCTCATTAACAAACGACTAGGATTTAATCGAACAAGTATAGGTTGTCGTCATATTCATATGGACTTATTCCCTGAGCATATTTTTGTATATTTGTTTAAAAGTGAAACAACCTTTAGCTATAATCCTTTACAACGCAAATATCAATGTTATTTTGAAGGAGTAGAAGGTGGATAAAAACTGGGTTTACTTTTAAATTCCAACTGGGATACTAAATATCATAAAAATTGCTGCACAAGATGTTATGTTTGCATGAATAATGCAGATGAGAAATATAAAATCAAATTTTTATGGCGTGAAAATAAATTACAAGAATCTTATGAATTTTTATGTGGATCTTTTGTGGGTGAATTTTTTGTGACTTCTGGTGATTTTATCAAACGGTAAGAGAGTTAAATAAATATTTGATATTTATAATATATCACATTAAATTTATATATTGCATTTATAGTCTTACAGATGAATTTTCTAATCCAACTTTACAGTCTGAAAATACAATGTTAGGTTACCATTAGAATTTAATTATTCGATACATTCTTTTATAAAATTTTTAACAAAGTAATATAGAAAGATGGCATACAATAAATAAATCAATTAATTTATAATAAATTAAAAATCAATTTTATTTTGTTTTTATTGCATCTTTTCATTATTAATAACATGAATTTTTCACTAAAAAGCAACAGGTATATTATAAATCAGATAATAAAATTAATGTGTTTTATAAATCATAATATTATTAACTATTGGTTACTAACATCCATTACAATGCAACCAAAATATAATTTTACCTATAAATATAAATCAATTGGATTTTAAAAATTTATTAATATTATCTATTCATAATTTTCTTTTCAATACTCAAAGTTGTAAATTGCCTTAATGATAATTTATGCTGTTTTAAATCATGTATAAATTAAGGTATGCAGTTACCACTGATTATAATAAACTTATTTATACCAAAAACTCATTATATCGAACAATGTGATGCAAAACTGATTTTTTATAATTAATTATACTAGATATACAGTTGTTTTCCTTTATAGTCATATCTCTTAAAACTAAAAATAAAAAGTGTGATTATAATAAATAGTAACTATATAGGGGAATTTTTATATATTTGTTACTAAGTATTAGTTCTGAAAAAATGTAATTATAAAAATACTGTGATTATAAAGGTTTTTTTTATATAGCATTAATAAGTATTAGTTTTTACAAAATGTATGCTTATAATAAGGGATTTATATGATGTGATTGTATAGAAGAATGACTATAGAGGATATAGTAAAATTCTATATACCATATCTGAATTAAGTTAGTTAAACTAAAGATATTAGTTACATATTTGATATACTGAACTATCATATGACTTAAAAATATTTATAAATTATCATAATATAAATAATCTTTCTTTATCAGAATCAGAAAATTTTTTATTTAAATATTTCTGATATTATATCAAGAAAAAGGGTTGTTCTTTCAGCTACACAAAAATATGAAATATGTAAAATGAAAAAAAATCCAAGTTTTCTTAATATTGAATTTGTATAATAATATTATATTAAAAAGTCAACAGTTATTAATATTTGAATGAAAAGAATGTTAGATTGCAATTTTAGAAGAGTAAAAAATATTAAAAAATTTTATAGTTCTAAATGATCTTAACTTGAGAAAGTACTCAGTATTTGAGTTGATAATATACTTAATACAAAATAAAATATTAATAGTAATATTTTAAAAATAAAAGAGAATTATTTTGCTAAACAGTTTTCTATAGAAGATTTAATAATTCAGAAGAGTAGTTATGTAGTTTTAAAAAATGTTATAGTTAGTACTAGTTTAAAAAGCAAAGTAAAACTGCAAGTACACTTTTTACTAAATTAATAGTAAATAATCATACAGTCAACTCTTGATATAGCGAACTCTTGATATAACGAATTTTTTGAACAAATATAATAAAAATACTCTTGTT